TCAACAGTGACGTGGGAGCCAAGTCGTGAATGCGATGAGTGTTTGTTTGATGAAAGGAGATATATCGTTTTGCCCTCGTTCACTGCCAGACCCATTCGCTTCGCTGCTTTATCAAGCCAGGAGAAAGCAGGACAAACGGGGCAGTTTTTGAGGCCGATAATGTCAATACCATCGGCGTACGCCAGTAGTTGTACACTCTTATAGAAGATTGTACCTTCTTTTATTCTATTATTCTCTCCAGCATCAAAAAAAAAGAAAGAAATCACACGATAAGGAGTAACCCTTTCTGAAGCCTTGTTTGGTACCGAACGGCTCGTAGAGGTCCTTCCCAATTCGGACTTCGCTTCTGGTGTTATCTAGCGTCAGCTTACAAAGCCGTATAAGTTATAGGGGATACCAAATTCAGACATAGGCAGCTCCTTACTGTGCTTTCTAAGGCGGCTTTAAAATCGACGAAGAGGTGGTGGGTGTCGATCCTCTTTTAAGTGGTATTTTCCAAGATTTCTGGTCAATGGTTGACTTACCAGGTCTGAAGCCACAATGATAAGGTCCACTCAGTTTGTTGACGGTGGGCTTCAGTCTTTCACACAAAAAGCTCAACAGGACCTTATGGGTGAAATTAAAGACGCTTATCCCACGGTGATTGGGGCAAACTTAGGGGTCCCTTTTTTATGGATTGGGCAGAGCATGATTCCGTACGATCCCATTCAGCAAAGTAACTGGTGCATGCACCTTATCAGCTCTTCACCGCCATGCTTGAATAGTTCTGCCGGTAGGCCGTCAGCTCCCGCCACTTTGTTGTATTTAAGCGGGCGACTGCGCTTCGAACTTCTTCATGGTCAGGTAATCGAACAATTTTTCCATGGTAATCGATTGGGGTTTCGGGTTCACCATCTCCGGATTTTCATTTATTATTCAGCAGGTGGGAGAAGTGGTCCTTTCATAAATTTAATATACTCTGGGCGTCGGTAGCTAGATCATCTCTTTGTATCGTACAAGACTCTGCTCCGGTCTTGAAACCTTCCGTAAATCGTCGTATTTTCTTATAGAATTTTCGAGCATTACCCTTGTCGGCCAGCTTTCAAGCTCTTCATACTCATCCATCTCGGCCTCTTTCTTTTCTTTCAGCAGGTGTGTCTTGCTTCCCGCTTTATCTCTCGGTATCTATCCTATCCCGCACGTATTGTGGTCGCAAGGTTACAAGGTAGGCAGTCGATTTTCGCTCCACTGCTACACGGCAGTCCTCATAGTATAAAATCCACGAAGTGTACGTACGTCAAGAACATTGGAGACATGTGGTTTTGTGTTTTCCGAGTAGAGGACAGCCAAGTAGCTTGATGTAAATAGACCCAGAGTTTATACCAAGCCGCCTCTGAAAAGCTGATAGTTTTTTATAAGAAGCCTTTACTTGATGTCGGAAATACTCTCGGAGGGATAGAAATTCCATGCCAAGCTACGACCGCAATTAGAAAGTTTAAATTAATTTATGATTTGATTATGTTGGTCGAACCAAGATCTGAACCCGAGCCTTCCGAATGGCAGTACGCAATGCTAACTACTCGGCTACCGCGGCCACCAAGAGGTTCGACTTTTGTCGTGTATTAATTCATAGCGCCTTCGATATGAAGACAATGCTCGGTTCTCTATAAAGGGTTAACTTGTGTTTAATTGTGTGGCGAACATAAAATAAAGTAATTCTTATTAAAACAAATTAACTTACTAATATGAATTGCAAGCCTCTGTAATATTCTCAATTTCCTATTTATGTAAGTGGCAACAACTACTTTAGGTCTCTCATATTTCATCCAACTTCGCTCAGTAGTTGTCAAGCTGTGTATGTACAAATATCGCTTTTCTTGATTTAGTAAATACCTAAATTTAATTAGTGTGAAAAATATTGTAGAATTTGTATTTACTTCAACAAAAAAATTATATTGAAATAAAGATTCTGAATACAAGGTCATATGTGATGTAACCCGAAATAGAGCCATACCCATAGTCCCATTATCTTTTGCAGAAATATGATCCTATAGTTTTTTCACACAAACAAATTAAGGCTTGCGGAGCCAAGTCGAGGGAAATGAAGTCACTTTTTGGAAAATAATTATCCAACTTCTGGTAAATAATCCTAAATTGTTGGTAAAAGGTTTAAAAAAAAGCGAAAAATATTTCGTGCTTAAAGCAAGTCTGAAAAATGGTGTAGCGAATTTATTTAACCAAGAAATGCAACTCAGTGAAGAACTGAAAATTTTAGGGGGTTTTAACATTACAGAAAAAAAATTCTGATTCAGTATAATAAAGTTCGCTTAAATTTTTACCATACCGATCATATACGATATTTGTTATTCTCTCTTACGGTAAAATAGTTAGGAAGCAGTCAGACAGAATTCTCACAATAAAAATGTTAACGATTTTTCGGTTGAATAATTTTTCAATATATAAAATGTTCTAAAAAACAGAGATTTACACATAGCATTACCCTAACTAGAGAGATACGTAGATATAGTTAGATTTATTTTCTTGACTTTTTTCCCCAGAAATGGAGGTTAGTAAAAAAATAAAACAGTAAAGCAAAAATATATTAATAATTTACTGAAAAACTAATATTTAAGCACTGAAGTAAATGTAATAATTTTTGCAAAGGACAAAACTTTTTATTCATTTTTATTTATTTTTTTTTATTAAATTAATTTTAATTTTGTTTCGACTTACACTATTATATCATACTTTTTATTTAGTTTTTTTTTTTTTGATTTGGTTCGATTAATTTATTTTATTTTATTGTTTTGCTTTATTTTATTTTCTCACTTATCTTGTTTTATTTCATATTTTGTTCTAATGCTTTTTTTTTTTTTTAATTAATTTAGCATTTTTTTTTTTATTTTAATTTTATTATATTTTGACTATATTTTCTTTTTGTTTTGTTTTTCTTTATTTTGTGTCATCTTTTTACAATTCTATATATCCTTTTGCTACTTTTATTTTACTTTTTAATTTTATTTTCTTTTAATATAAATTAATTTTAATATTTGTAATTTAATTTAATTTCGTTTTATGTCAATGAATTCAACGTTGTGTTTCGTTTTTATATTCTTATTTTATGTTTTTATTTCTTTTATTTAACTTTACTAAGTTTTTTAGATTTTTTTATATACAATTTTTATTTTGTTTCGTTTTTAATTATTTTTATTTATTTTAATTTTATATGCATATTTTTTTATTAATCAGTTAATTATAATTTATTTTAATTAATTTTAATTTAATTTCGATTTACACTATTATAATTTTTATTTGTTTCTTGATTTGGTTCGATTAATTTATTTTTTTTTCTTATTTATTTTATTTTATTACATACTTTTTTAATTAATTTAGCATTAATTCATTTTATATTATTTTATTACATATTTTGTTCTCATGCCTTTTTTAATTTTTTTTATTTAATTTAGCATTCATTCATTTTATATTATTTTAATTTAATTTTATTATATTTTGACTATATTTTTTTTTGTTTTGTTTTACTTTATTTTTTGTCATCTTTTTAAAATTGCATATTTCCTTTTGCTACTTTTATTTTACTTTTTTATTTTATTTTCTATTAATTTAAATTAATTTTCATTTTAATAATTTAATCTAATTTCGTTTTATGTCAATGAATTCAACTTTGTGTTTTATTTTTATAATTTTAATTTATGTGTTTGTTTCTTTTATTTAACTTTACTTAGTTTTTCATATTTTTTATATTAAATTTTTATTTTGTTTCATTCTAAATTACTTTAATATATTTTTATTTTATATGCATATTTTTTTATTCTGAACTTTTTATGTAATTTATATTAATTCCAGATAACTTAAGTTAATAATTATTTTATTTAAGATTGGTTTTATGTTTCTTTTCTTATTTAATATTTTATTATACTTATATAATTTATTTTTAAATATTTATATTTATTTTTCTTTTTAATCTTACTTAGTTTAATTAAATTTAATTTATTTTATTTTAAATTATTTTTATGATTTTTTTTTATATAATATTTTATTATACTTATATTAAATTTCAACTTTGTTTTAATTTATTTGCATTTGTTTTACAATATATTGCTTATTTGTTTATAAATATATATTAAGTTTTTGCTATTTTTGTTTTACTTTGTTTTAAATTATTTAATCTTATTCTACTTCAATCCCTTTATTTAATTTTTTGTAATTTAACTTAATTTATTTTAATTTTATTTAATAATTTTATATTTTTATGATTTTTCATTTTATTTCGCTTCAACTTGAGTTTCTTAGATTTAAACTTATTCTAATTTCTTTTACTTTCTTTAATTTAATTTAAGATAATTTTCAATTAATTTTTTATTTTTTTTTTATTTTGATTCTGCCTTACTGTCTCTTTATTCATTTTTAAATTTTTAATTATATTATTTGTGTTTCTTTTAATTTATTTAGTTTCCTTTATTCAATATTTATATGGTTTTATTTACTTTCTAGTTTAGTTTAATTCAACTTAATATTTTCTTTGAATTTATTTTTGAGAATATTTTTTTAATTTTTTTTATTTTAATTACATACATATTGGTTTAACTTAGTTTTATTATTTTACCCGATTTATTTTTTACTCTGGAGAAACCGAAGCCACAAGTAATATTGGCTCGTATGCGTCAGACACTCATTACAAATTTAGTTATACACAACAAGTTGTAAATTTTAATATTGTGCATATGCATTAACATTATCTACATATTTTATGTATTTCATTGTTTCCAACGAGTACGTAACACCAGGCTATATGTTAATATGTACATACATACGTGTGGGAATATAGCGACTCGCTTATCAGTGTCAGAGCTCACGCATTTCGTGATTGAGTTTTTATGTTCAAAATAATTGTTTTAGTTTAATTAAAACACCTGAAAATACACACTATATAAGCCACGGCCTCTCAAAGCCTCATCACACAGTTCTAACTCAGAATCGTAGTTAACAATTACATCTACAAAATGATGAAGAAAATGCTCTGTTTAACTCTCTTGGTTGGCGGTAAGAATTTTTCACACCTAATTTTCTTTATATTTCTCTGGAAAATAATACAAATCACTATATTTCACTTTCTCCTAGTTTTCGCCATTATCAACAACTTGCCAAGTGCCGCTGCATTCCCTCAAGAAGAGCATATTCTCGAAAAACATGAGGATGAGGCACCGGCACCAGCACCAGCGGACGGAGGTGAAGAAGGCAGTGAAGGTGCTGATGGCGGTGAAGGTGGAGAAGAGCCGGAAGAAGAAATCGCAACTATAGCACATGATGAAGAGGATCCCTCCTCTGAACTGCCAATTTTGCTAGGTGAAGGAGAAGATCCAACTGAAGAACCATTAGCATGAAATTAAATCCGATATGCCACCGAAAACAGTTGAAAAATAGTGCAGATTCCTAATTGCTTACTTTATAAATTTAACAATGTAGAATGGATAGTCATGAGCTTTAAAAATAAATGCAATAACATCAAAACCCGCTTAAAATAGTCGACATTTCCAATATTCTTTTACGGTCACATGATATGTTTTAAGCACAACTATCCTCGAGACGGAGATAAGGTGTTATCCTCTCTGAATACGGTGCAGCGAAAACTGTTCAAACACCTCTGTTGCATAACCGACCTGATCCACCGTTCGCGTTACAAGGCAGTATATATCGAGCAATATTATTACGATATATAATTATATATATAATTGGCGCCAGGATTTTAACCCGATCCTTCAGAAAGGCAGCACGCAATGCCAACCACTTGGCCACCGCGGTCGCATGATACAATATCGGTCTCTTTTAAAAGAGAGAAGAACGAATAGGCAGGCACGGAGACTGCACAATGCAGAGCATGTCTGAGGCTACTAATATTTTCTAATCGTTCCGAAAATGATCAGATAGTCCATCCATAGACATAATAGTCCGTTCTAAGGCTACCATTAATTCATTAGAAGCTATCATTCTTCTATTGATTGCCACCTATTACCCACTATTCTTCTCAAATGTATTATTGTTGACACCACTTGAACAAATATGTCACCATTTGATTATCATTCCTTTTCAAACCTTTTCTATGACTCCAAACAGTTTTCAGCGGTGGCTATTACCATCGTCTTTGAGTTGATGTATTGGTAGGGCACTTCTCTCTGAGCAGCAGTAACACCGTTAGTCCATAATATATCAGAAATAGGCATTCCTGGTAACCAAAGAGTTTATGCAGGAGTATATGGTAAAAGTGAGACATTCTCTCTTAATTATTCCAATGCGAGCTTCGAGTCGAAGTGTAAGCGGCTCCCAGGTTTTCAAAATGTAACAAAAAAAAGGTTAATTTTTTTCTAATTAAAGTATCCTCTCGGAAGGTGATCTCGACCACTCCAAGTGTATTCTTTGAGGGAAAGTTCTTCATTGTAAACTATTACTACCGTCGTGAGGCAGCAAAAAAAAAATCTCAATTGGAGAATAAGCGCGACTTAGAGACAACTTTTTAGACCTTTGGTTGATGACTCCCAAAAGCAAATGTGTGGTTAACAAACCCCATTTGTTTCGCTACTCGACTCTTTATCCAGGCCTAAAGAGGAAACACGTCCGAACTAACTACCTATCTTTCTCTCCCTTAACTTGTGGTCGCTTCCATTACTGGCTAAAGGGAGATATGTGGAGTTATTAAAAGAGGCGAGTTTCTCAAAGCTCCTTTAGGCGCAAGAAAGAAGTACTTACAGTTGAACAGTGCCAAACAAACTCTAACAACTAGTGCCAGATTGTCTTTCATATTGAAAACTCCAACCCGATTTCTCCAGAAAATAATCACTCTTTGAAAGTTGGAAAAGAGAGAATTTTACTGCTGTTTCTACACGGATAGGACTCGTCTACACTCCTTTTTCTAGTTAGCTTATAAATTAGTGAAGTACTCAACTCTGACAAATGAAAGAAACTGTTACATTGAGAGGGAGAGTGAGAGAAATTTTCCCTCATCTGGTCGATTATAGAGGAAAAAGGGAACCCATAGGAACTGAGCGAATGAAATGTTGGCCAAACCTGCTTATTTATTTATGAAGACCGCATGCATTGTTGTTATTGCTTATGAATTTAACAAAACAAAAGCCTCGACATATACATGCATACATACATATACTCTTATACATGTTCACACACATACACATACGCATGTTAGCCAAATTGCTTTTGACATTGTCTGATGAAAGTACGAGTATACGCAATGCATATTTATAACCACAACCACACGCACACCGACACTCATTCAAGTCTAAAAGTAGTTTCAGACATTTGACAGCTCCAACAACTCAGCCAGACAGCTAGCGGTATGAGAAGAAGTAGAAGGATAAAGAAGCATTACACTCACAAAGACAAAGTGAAAATTTCATTGAGCTCAGCTCATTTGCTATGCAGGAGTCAACAGTCGAAATGGTAAACAATGCTGGCGGTTTTGTAAAGGCATGGCAAGGCAATAGAGACAAAGCGGAGTGGGCAGCGAAATTCAAAATACAAATGAAGCATGCAGATGAAATTTGGTGAGATGGTGCGGAGGTAACAGTGGATGCTTGGTAGTTATAGAATTGAAAGTTTGATGGTCGGACTGGGGCTACTGTAAAGCCAGGCAAAATATGGAATCTGTCCACAATACCACGGCTTGATCGACGAAATTCCAAGTGCGTATTAAAAGTCTGCAGATTTGACTAATTTCTACGTCTAATAACTCGCTCTTAAGGCTAAAAGTTGTGTGGTGTAATAATTTCAAACTCAGTCTCGTAAAAGCGGGGCTCTGTAATTCGAAGGTCTTAAGGTTAAATCAAACAAACGTTGTCGAATGTTTATGTGGACAGCTAAAAATGAAATATATCAAGAAAGGAAGCAGAGCCAAGATTTCACACAGTGACTACTGCCTTAAGAGCAAAACTGTAACCATGTGGTTCCCACCAGCCGTGCTATGATCAAGCACACGAAGGAAGCTATAATCAGCTATTGAGATCAAAAATTTCTTCACCATTTTAGAAAATAACGATTGTGAGCTCCATACCGCAAACGCAGTCCACCGTCCTCTACGAACAAGATCGGAAAAAATCAGAGTCTGCTGAGTAAGCGAAGTATTTTCTCACATCGTCTTTAGAAGTAAATATACCGACTGAATGAGAGGATGTGCTAGCCTTACCAACCGGTCTTCAAATACCAAAAAAGTTGCCAATTGAAAATGGAAAGTCCCCTGTTGTTGTTGCTGTAGTAGTTGATACGTTAACAGTCACCTAAGCCGCTGAGGTCATCTAACGGGAGGTCCAGATAACGTGCTGTTTCCACGGGAACAAACCAGAGGGAACGGGAGTTAGATTAGTGGATAGGGAACAGTTTAACCTACTACAATATCCAGTTCTAAGCTGGGCCATTTGGTATCCCCGCAAAACTTAAGCGTATGTGTAAGCTGACGCAAAACAACACCAGAGGCGCAGTCGAAATTGGGAAGGACATGCCGAGCCGTTCGGTACCAAATGAGGTTACAGACAGGGTGACTCTTTGTCGTGTGATTTCTTCAATTTTATGCTGGAGAGAATAATAAGAGCTGTAACTACTGGCGTACGCCGATGATATTGACATTATCGGCTTCAACAACCGCGTTGTTAGTTCTGAGTTCTCCAGGCTTGATGAAGAATCGAAGTGAATGGGTCCATTAGTGAACGAGGACAAGTCTAAATATCAACAAACAGTCATCGCATTCGCGATTTGGCTCCCACTGTTGACAGTCATAACTTTGAGGTCGTAGAAAATTTAGTTTATCTAGAAACCAACACTAACACCAAATAATAATGTCAGCCTTGAAATCCAGCGCAGACTCACTCTTGCCAACAGCTGACACTTTGGGCTGAGTGGCCAATTGAAAAGTAAAGTCCTCTCTCGGCGCACAAGAACCAAACTCCACAAGTCGCTCTTCATACCAGTCCTACTATATGGCGTTAGGAGTTTTCGAAAGAAAGGATTTGCGCAGTTGCAACGGCGAATATCGCAGACGATAGAATGATGAGCTGTACGAGTTATGCGGCGACATTGATATTGTTCAGCGATTCAAGAAGCAGCGGCTACGCTGGATAGGTCATGTGGTCCGGATGGATTCGATGCAGTACCCGCCCGTGAAGCAGAGGAAGATGAAGACCTCCACTCCGTTGGAAAAACCAGGTAGAGAAGGACCTGGCTGTACTTAATATTTCCAATTGGCGCCAAACAGAAAAAGAAAAACGAATGGCGCAAAGTGTTTGAATGTGAGGCCTGTCTTTCTCATTTTAAGTGAGCACTTTAACTCATTTCAACTGTAATGCGTCAGAAAATTGGTAATAACTCAAATTCATCCTCACAATCTCGTACAACACGGACCGACTATTCTTCATTCATGCAGCTGACAAAAACAGGCATTGTCATGATATCGTCCTCCTAAAACAAAAAAAGTAGCCGCATAACTTGACCTCATATGTTTGCCGTCAAATCGGCGTGGCTCGGCTGACTGGGATGATTGTGATGACTGTGAGATGGACTAACTGTGTCGTCAACAGAAAGAAATATTCTAATATCCAATTGTTGCATCTCGTCTGCATGCCCCAAACGGAAAGGACGCCGCCATCCCCACGTTGGACTCACGCTCTTCACTCGTGCGGCTAAATATAATTTATCAGCTGTAGGGGGAAGGAAAAAACGTATTAGACCACAGCAGCTAACACAATAATCAGACGTCCTCATCGCAGCGTATGCCAAGCGAAGCAATTGCTAGCCGCATCACGTTGTAAAAGCGTCGCATTCCCATTTAAACGGCAGATGCTCGCCGGCGTGAGGCGCCAGTCTGTGCACGATTGACAACATATCCTCATTTCTCTCTGCCTTATTGCTTTACGAGTGCCTGTACGTATGTGTGTCTCTATTCAAGCCTCAACGAGCCGTTTTCCATAGTAAACTCCCAGCTGGGTAATGGCCGTTGCACGTCTGACGCCACAGTGTCGCGACTGTTTTAATCATTGGCGCTGAAATCTGGGAGAGGACAGACATACATACGATACGTGTGGTGGAATGTTGAGACACGTAACGTTGGGGATGTCTAAATACAAAAGCTTGTTTTGATTTTCTTACTCACTTAACTTATTTCCGCCTGATTTTTCTACTGATTTTCTGCTTTTTTTTAAACGAAGGTCAACGTACGCGAGCAAAGTATTTATTGGCGAATTCCTTGGAATTGCTAATAAAGATGCACTCGGAAATTCGGAAGAAATAATCGAACGCAAGTGGATTTGCCATTGGAGTAGGGAAGAGCGAGTGGAGATCTTTGTCACCCTCTGCTTCCACCAGCGTACTGCATCGACGCAGGCTT